GAGCTGTGCCAGGTACCATTTGGTCTTTTAACTGAATCATCTGACTTAGGCTTATATTCTAATTATGGGGGGAGAGACTCTTCAGCATGTTTACATCAATACAGACATATCATGGGTGAACAACCTCAGTGAGGTTCTTCTAAAAAATAAAAAAATAAAAAAACACAAACAACAAAACACTGTTCTAAAAAGTTTTTTTAAATAGTAAGTTTTTTAAAAAAAAAACACACAAAAAAATCTATTGTCTTCTAGACTTGATAACTTTATCTAATCATTTACTTATTTTTCTCTTTGAAGTAATAATTATTTTGAAGGAGGATTGCTGATAACTGAGAATCATATTTCAAATTGCTAATATCAAGAGTGTTCAGACCATATGGAATGAGATAGAGCAGACTAAGTAACTAGGCTGACATTTAGTCTGAGTGGTATTAGTTTGGAGCCACTTCTACGTACAGCTGTAACTGTGAGCCACTTCCTAGGGTAGGAGGAGAACAAGAGCAGCTATCCAAATCACGGCAAATCACACTCTATGATGGTATCTCACAGGTTTGATTGCTACCTGCATGTCTGGTACCTGCCGAATTTCAAACCACTGGAGAAGGCTTGCCAAGCAACTACATTTCCATCTCTTCCCTTCCTCAGTGCATAACCCAAGTTTTCTGAGCAGAAATACTGTACACTAATTTTAGTGAGTGATCTCGTCTGAACATCGATATCCCGAATATTCAAAAACCTGAGATTTGCCAACTATTGAAAGTGCTTCTATCCTTGCAATCAAGGCACTAAACTAATTATAAAGATCTTGAGGGAAGTGCACAAGGAAAAGAAAATATATTAAATCAGTCCGTGGGAAGGAAGTACCCTAATACTGATACAGAAACAAGACCTGAATTTATTAGGAAAACTATAGAAAAAGAATGAGTGAGTTTGGCAGAAAAACAAGACCACTTTCTCTCAGTGCATCGTATGTTCTTCTCTTTGTCACACATTTTATACAGCCCATGTGTTCTGTGCTTGTCTTCAGGGAATTCAAACATATATATATTGTGCAGTCATAAAAATTCGCTAGAAAGAACAATGAAGTTAGCTAGGATAATTGAAAAAACATTCATTGAAATTGATAAAAAAATACATAAAGGAAGCAGTTTAACTTTTGAAATGCTTGGGAACACCATTATCTTTTCAACAAGTGGTACATATATTTTTATTTCATTAAACACAAAGTCTTCTCTTGTGTTTTATCACACCAAAAGACAAACTTGATCATTTGTCTGTAATTTCTAAATCTTTGGCCACTGATATATTTGCCAGTACACTCAGATTAACTGCCTAGTGCCTGCACGAGGCATCCAGTGTGATCACAATGAGAGAATGACAGTCCTTGTGTTAACTGTTGTGTCTGCTCATGGCTTTCCTATGCATTCCTGGTACAAATGCCTTTGCACATGTAGTGTTATAACTACATTTGTTCTCAAAAGACATTATATATAGGAGAATTGTTCTTGTCTGTTTTAGAGAAGTTTTGTTTTGTTTACTGCTACTCTATTCAGAAGGAGGATGTATGAGTAAAGAAGGATGGTAGAGCAGATAAGGTATAATTCCAAAAATAATTCTAAAACTCAGGCATATGCCAGTTGCCTTAGCCAACCATTTAATTCCCCATATAGCAAGAGGGGCTACTTCCCATGCTATTAATTCATAAGTGAATTAATTCAGCACCACATATGCCCTGCAAAACAGTTACCCATTAATTTCCCAGAGTAATTAAAGAAGAATACATGACTACTTTAACACCCTGAGAGCTGCAGTCTAAAAAAAAATGTTTTGTTAGCCCTTTCTCACTTTCCCAAACAACTCATTTTTCCAAGAGCAGAACTGTGATCCAATGCATTGGAACATCATCTAACCTGAGCAGAGTGAAACCTCTGGTGTGTGTTTGCATTCAGCTCCATTTTTTAAAAAAAGCTATTATGTAGTTAATTGTAGCTAATGTAGTTAGCTAGCAATGTCTGAGTACCAAAAAATAAAAACACATGGAGGGAGGAAAATTCTCTAACAATTCAGCATGACTCATATCAAAGAGATTTAGACATAGAGCCAAGAAAAGAGACCAGATTCCTTTTGTGCTACTCTAAATGGTAAAATCAGAGTCTTATAAATTTTTTTTTCCCCCCCAATGTCTACTAACTAGGATCTTTTATGGTCCACTTGCTATTTCCATCTAACCATGCTTTTTATACGTCTTGGAACCACATAGAGCTCTGGTAATACATAGATACATTACTGTAAACACTGGGTTAGTAACAATTGAGAACTATCTTAAAACCTACTGTTTTTATTTTCCAGTTTTTGCTTCCCAGGTAACGTAGTAAATAAAAGCATTTCCCTGCTATTAGAAATTTAGATAGTATTTCTCTGTATTTACTAACACTTGCTATTTCTCTGGGACACACATTGTCAGAATGATAAAGCATGATATTTGTAAAAAGCTACAATTTCATTCACTCAATTTGAATGTTCCAAATCCATTTCCTTTACAATAAAGGTGCTTTCAGTTGTTCCCAATGAAAATTGAACGGTACTGTCATCCATTTATTTTATAAAGTCCTCCACCAGCATAGCTGTCAGCATAGCTGGGAACTGTGATCTGTCACTAGATTTACATTAATCTTCTCAGTTTTTCTTTTCCTTAGGAGAAAAGTATCTTACACTACCAATATTGTCAGATCTCACTACTGATAGAGCCTGAACTCAATTGTCAGAGCTGCAAAGCCTAATGCTCTTCCTCTTGCACAGAATTTTCAGTAATGATTGTATCCAGGGAGGTCCTGTTTGCATTTACATGCTGTACTTTGTGCACTTCTTACCAAATCACAAAATATTCAGGCTCTCCAAGTGTTGCCTTCAGGATCTGGAATAATTTTTCTGAAAACTACTGTCCAGATAAAGATCTGTTAAGTTTCTTAGGCTTTGGGTTAAAGTTCAAGGTCAGGGATGCTTTTGTACATTCCTACCTGGATTTTTCATCCTCACAGTGATATTTCACATTACTCAGCATTCACAGGAAAGTTATCTGATTTTTCTTTCAAATGGAGTATTTAGACTTCCTTTTTCATCTCCAAGATGTGTTTCATAGGCTGTTGCAGTCAGAGCTAGATTATTACTCATAGATCTGCACTATTGCCTCTCCTATGTGCATCCACGATCTGTAGCTTCTCTGAACTCTGTTTCTTTCATGACTAGAATTACACCTGCATCGACAAAGTTTAGAAGAGACAATTACTAGAGGAAAACAAAAAATAAAAACAGAACCTCCAACAAATCCTGTTCAGGCCACTTTGGGAATTGCTAGTGTGTGGGAATTGATGTTAGTGGCTCTTCTACTTTCCCCAGCTTTCTCAAGTTCAAATCCAGAAAAATCGGTTTCATGTGATGAAAGCCTGGCTGCTGGCAATTAGAGGTCTTCCACTCCATCCCCACTTGCCAAATCCCCCCGCATCAGCTGACGTTCTTTTATATATTTCCAAACTGCGTCTCAGGAGATGCTTCTGCTTTGCTGCTTGGCACATTTTGTGTTGTCCCTCTTAGTAATCATCATTGATCCACATCTTCCATCTTCTTTTCATGTTTTCACTGCTGATTTTGACTTCTCTGTTCTCTCTTCCACTCTCTTCCATTCGCTTCATAAATGTATTTTAGCTTAGATAAAGTCAGTGCACAACTTTTCTAGATCACTTTAAATATTGGATCTGATTTGCTGGTAGGATACTCTATATTCCTCCAATTTTTTTGCTCTGGATGATACCAGATACTGCATCTCATCCATTTATCTTCATGTTACCATTACCTCTCATCTTCAAATGTCAGTATCTCAGACTAGTGAATTCTAAATAAGTCTCTACACTGTTTCCAGTTCATTATTACACAATTATGACATTTATCCATTCCTGTTTTTCAGGACAGCTGTTATCCATCTAAACAGCACGATCTAAAGTGCTTTGAAGGCTGATCTTTGTAAAGTTTTTTGCTGTCTTTCATAATTCGAGCAGAAATATTTTTCATGGTATCACAGCTCCAGTTAATTTCCATACCTGAATATTCAGTCACCCTCTCGGTATTTATTTAACCCAGCCTGAAGTTCATAACATGTATGTTGCTTATGCCCAGACCTTTAAAATTACAGGGGAACAGTTGCTAGATGCTTTGTACCTTTAAGGATCTGGGACCCAAATAATCTTTGGTAAATTTCTTATCTAGTTTTTAACACAGTTCTACAAATTCCTAGTGAGTAACTCTTCCCTGAAATAGATGAAAGTGACAAGTGGGAAAAAGACTCCCTTTTGTAACAACAGCACATAAACCCAGATTACATCAGCCATAGGACCTGCTTAGCCTTGGGATGTAGAAACTTGTATTATATAAAGGGGAACTACCTCATCATTCAAGGAATTTTACATTTTCCTTAGACCCAAAAGAGAGCTGTATTTTGTTCCCAGTTTCAGCACCCTCCTCATCAGCAAGAACCAGAATTCAGTTGTTCCTCTCCATACTCCCAGCTGCAGTGAGACTCCATATCCTCATTCTGTAAGCTCATGTTCAGAGGAAACAGGTGCTGTAAGTGCATAACCTTGCAGAGTGGTGCTGATGAGCTGATTAAAATAATGTGTGCGTTCTCTGCCTAACAAAGAGACACCTGTGTTTGGTTGTATTTTTTTTCCTTGCTTTATTTGTTGTTGAGTTTTAAAACAGTCTGAAATTTAAAAAGAGTGAATAATAAAATTATTTGGCAAGCTGTACTTGTTGTTTTTTTTTTTATTAATTTATTATTATTTTATTTCTATATATGGGTTAGTGATTTTTTGTTTCAGTTTCTACCTGTCTGCTGTGATTCAGCTTTATTGGTACTTTCCAAGGAATTTCATCTTTAATGGTACTCTCCAAGGAATTTTTGCTGATATTTCAACAAAACTGAATTTTTTTCTTTTTTTCTAGCATACTATTTGTTCCTTCTAAAATATGTAGACAACAGCTGGTGCTACCCAGAAAAAATACTTGAAGACACCCATTAAGGACAAGAATGGCTATTCTAGAGTTGTCTCTTAATTCCTTAAAGAGTAATCCATCCTGTCTGCGTGGACTATAGCAGACTCTCTCATTGACATCCACTTTCTTTCCATGTTCCTTAATCCTTACCCACAGCCTCTCAACCATGTCACAGCCAGCTGCAAGCTCCACGCAGCTCAGCCCCAACCTCATGCATGGCTGCTCTTGCAACCAGGTTTTGCTTCCTGCAGTGATGTTGTAGCTGTGGGATTGAGACAAGGCTTTTAGTTCCTCTTGTATGTTCATCTTGCTGCATACATTGGTGCAGAAACATTTCAAATATTCCATGTTGTACCCAGCACCTCATGGAGCAGACTGAGGATCTCACCAGCACACAGCCCCTTGAATTTTGCAGTGCCATCCAGCCTGTTCCAATAAACCTGCTTCCCAGAAGGAACTAGTCAGAACGGGCATAGAAACATTCTGGGAGTCCACAAATTCTGGCAGAAAGCTTCACTGTGACACAGAGATGTATTTATAATGAAGAAAACATAGTGACATAGAATGGACTGTGACAAAGAAGGAGTTATGCCCAGTCCCCTTTAAGAGTCTGGATGCTGCCTTGACATTAGAACAAGGATTGTGACAGTGTGTGAGCTTGCCAACAGAACCCCTGAGTTTGTTATGGCAACAGGGCTGTCATGAAGTTAGCCAAGAACAGGATCTCCTGCAATCGTAGTGTCCTTTAAACTGGGACAGCTAGATTCAAGTTTTCTATACAGAAATCCTGTGAAGAGAAGGTAGTTGTCTTGTGTTAACCTGTTGCTTGTCTTTGGAAATCAATTTCCCATGATACTCAGCTCATCTACTTTCTTCCACTTTGGCTCCTCTTCCTCAAATTCAGTAACAAATTAATTGCCTTACTTGGCTTAGTCTTTTATCAAATATGAAATTTATGCTTTGTATCCATTTTATAAAGTGCAGCAAATACCATGAGACTGGAAACAAGAAGCTGAATTCTTAGTTTGCATGCTAGTCTGCCTAGCTCCAGTTAATTAAAAGGACAGTATTGTCTTCCAGCTAACAACTTGCTGTAACCCTACAAGTTGTGATTTTGCCTATGCAGAAAACTGTAAGAATCCCTCTACATTAGGGTAGATTTCTCAGCCACGTTTCATTTTGAAGAAAATGAATCATCTATGAAGAAAGGTTGAGTGAACTGGGTCTGTTTAGTCTTAAGAAAAGAAGACTGAGAGGGGACCTGATCCAGGTCTACAAATATCTAAGGTGTGGGGGACAGAGTGGCGAGGCCAGACTGTTTTCAGCAGTGTGTGGAGACAGGACAAGGGGAAACGGCTGGAAACTGCAGCATAGGAAGTTCTGCACAAATGTGTGCAAGAACTTCTTTACAGTGAGGGTGACAGAGCACTGGAACAGGCTGCCCAGGGAGGTGGTGGAGTCTCCTTCTCTGGAGATGTTCAAGACCTGCCTGGACACCTACTTATGCGACCTGCTGTAGGGAACCTGCTTTGGCAGGGGGGTTGGACTCAATGATGTCTGGAGGTCCCTTCCTACCCCTATGATTCTGTGATTCTATGATTTTCCATAAGTTGAGTAGTACTTTGAAGGGAATTACTGACAAATGTTAAAAAGACTAGTGAGATTCCCAGAAGATGTATTTGCATCACTACATACAGTGATTTTTCATGCACTTCTAGACAAAAAAAAAATCAAGTTAGGCTTCTTGACACTTTTATATATCATCCCTAAACATATGCCCTAAGTGTATGTTCCTAAATTCAACTCGGAGTCACTTTGTTAGATACATGTGATCTGCTTCATACGTATTCCCATTCTGTTCCAGAACATCCCTGGAGACACTCTGATGTCAGTAGAAGTCTCTCACATTCAGAAAGGATCTCTGTTTGCTGAAGACCAGCAAATGTGAGGTGATTTGAAAGAACTCAGCGATCTAGAGGAATTGAGACATTCATTCCAAACAGCTATGGACAAACTAGTGAAAGATATTGAACTTACATTACAGGAAACCCAGAATAATGTTAACAAGAGGCACAAGAAGCAGCAACAAGTGAAGATGGTATGTGGAAAATAGAGTTCTTCCAGATGTAAAAGTACAACAAATCGTGGAGGGTGTAGATCAGCCTGCAAAGGAGTGTGTGGATCATGAGAAATTTGAGTTTCTTCTGAGAGAAAAAGAACTCCAGTAACTCAGATTTTTGTGCATTATATCAAATTCACAAGTTGTGAGATCTTTCTACTTGGTTAAAAAGGTTGTAGTGTTTGATTTAGGCCAGAAAGACCCTAATTAAATATTTTTTGAAAATTCTGTAAATGTTCAAATCAGAAAATTTTGACGGGGGGATTTTTCATGTTTTGTCAGACAACATTTGTAAGATGTAACAGTGTAAGATTTCTTTTCAAAATCTAATGATTAAATTTAGAAATGATGGAAATTAGAGAAATGATGGTTATTAGAGAACTAGTGAATCATTACATGAATAATCGCTTGAACAAATACTCAGATAGACTTAGATGAATCTAAGATGAATCCTTTTGCATTTCTATCAGCTTGAAAATGAATTTAACAACTCTCCAATTTCTAGCAGGGTGCCATGAGAGACATACCAACATCATATTTCATCTCAGACAATACAACTGAGAACATGGATGCTAGGAGTCATATGGCACACTTGGATGTGATGGGAAGAGCAAGTACTTTGCAGTCTGAAGTATCCACCAGTGTGGAAGAACAGAAAGAGCTTTGCTACATGCAGGTCACTGCTGCTGACATTGAACTTCAGAGGACGTGGTGCAATTTTATGCTGGCTGAACAGAAATATGAACATGAGGATAGTGACAAACAAAGGCTTCATGAAGAGAGAATGGCCCGGATTCATCAACAGGTAGAGAAAAGAGCAGTGAGTAGGAAAAAGAGAGGGTTGAACCCAGTACAGATCGAAACATTCAATTCCTGTGTGAAGTACTTTGTAAAATTTTATTCTTTTGTGTATTGAGTAGTGCTGTGACTTCTTTTAAAGTTAGACTTCAGAAGATGATCCTTAAAGCTTGTACATGTACCAAGGAGATGGATTCTTCTCCCTAGAACATTCACTGCAATAAAATGTAAGAACAGATAACTCACAAATTAAGTTATGAGGTAGGGATCCACAAACATGTTTTTTTCTTACTCTTTCCCCTTGAATGACAGAGGACTTGATCTGAATGCCATACTAATCAGTGCAGAAGTTTCCTGCCTCTACAGTAGGAGCAATTTCCTGAGTTACATTTGGCTGATTCAGATAGGAAATGCATGAGTAAATGCATGGATGAAATAATCTATCAAAACAATACAACTAATCAGTTTTGCAAGACTGCTTTTTATAGAAGTAGCTGAGGTTATCATATGTTCAATATTTAGCGTGTTGTCAACAGCAGCCCAGTTCCAAAGAGGCCACTCGGCAGTTTAGCCAACAGGACAACTAGAAAACCTGGTTTTTAGAACTTTCCCTGATCAGCCTCCAATTGTCATTGGATTGAGTTAGGGAATAAACAGAGTATCTGAATTTAAATCACACATATTTTAGAGGTACTTGTATATTTGACTTCACTTGCATGTTCTGTGCTTTAAATCAGGACAAAATAAAAGGATGTTTTATGCAGCATTCATAGCACTGTGTTGTACATATCTCAGATCATGTGCAAGAATGGCATTCTGGTAAGCTCCATAGAATCCTTGAAGTTTTCAAGTGTCAATTCAGAAAAAAACACTTGGTTAGATTACATGCATCTGACTAAACATCTCAGGTATCGGATTCTTTTTAGTAAAGGCCTGAAATTTTGCCCATGAGCCTGCGTAAATGTTTGGAAATGACCATGCAGCAAAGAAGCACTGGCTATAGTTATTCCACAAATATAGAGATGGATGCAAAAAGTCTTACCATGAGTGTGCACTTACCTCTCATGAATTACTCTATGTACTTGCACACTCTTTCTGTAAGTGAGGTCACTTAACATTTATTTCAGAGAGAAAACTTAGTCTGTGTTATGGATATAGGAGGGAATGGGACTTCTGTTATTTAACAAAATAACTGATTTGGTCTCAGTTCACATGCTGCCTAACCTCACAATTATTCCTTATGAACTAAATATGCCAGTGGATGAGGTGTGCTCAGGGAAGCACGTGGATTGGGTGTGAGTGGAACACAGTCATGTAACATGATGTCTATCTTCTCTTTTCACAGTTTAGACAAGGACTCCAAGACCGGCTCCTGCCTCCAAACCAAAGTGTTTTGTTTTTCTTATACTGCTTCACCTTTATATTTATTATTTACTTAGTAAAAGACCTGGTCTTTTACTTTTTCCAAAACCATCACCAGTTCTCTTTTGCTATTGTGCTCTTTCTCATTCTCAAAGGGATTTTCCAGGATTAAAAATCTAGGACAAATGTGCTCTTAAAAGAGATAGAATATTGTTCATTTCTCTGCCCCTGATCTTACTGTTTTTTGTTATCCACACCAACAAATAGTTACACAAAACTAACTGACTTCCTGAAGAAAACTGGAAATGGATGACATGATTTGACATCGCATTGTCTTTACAAATAAAATAAGAAGTCTCCTTTGGACATGTTTTATTTTTTTTCCTCTCCTCCTTGGATTAACAGAGTGGCTTGGGTTTATCCGTCTACCTGTATATGTATTTTTGTGCAGAAGTTTCAGAGCTAATTCATTAGTTGTGGAAAAGTACTCAGGATAACTGAATATTGCTATAAGTTCATTGCTATCTCTGCTTCTGGGATAGACACATTCACCTCTGTGCCGTGGCACTCTCTATACTTACACACAGCTTCAATCAGCAATAAACCAGCAAGTACTGGCAAACACATACCTTATTTGTAACTCAGGTGTCATGATTTCTGAAGTCTCCACAGTGATAAGAAAAGGTATCAAATATAGCCCCAATAAAAAGGCATTCTGTCTAGTGAGATGATTTTTCAGTGCTACTTCAATTGTACAATTGTAAATTGATATTTCTAACAAAAAGTAGTCACCTACCATATGGTATGTCAGGTTCAAGTAACTACAGTGTCATGATCTTCCACTGATGTTAGAACATAATTCATCCACAAATCCTCATACACATGCCTGACTGTTTCATTGAAATAGTTTTTGTCTCAGTCTCCCTTCTCTTTGCACTGTGCTGTAAACAGGACAATAACCTGAAGGGTACTCGATAATCAGGTAGGTTACAAAAAATAAACCAAACACTCAGGTCAGGGTTTAAAATGATGAAAGGGCTGTAGGCTTCCTTACTGAGGTCTCTATCTGTGATGAGTTTGACATCAGTCAATGTTGTATTTCTTGGGTGTTGCTGTCGCAATGTTTTCACAAAGCCACTGCTGCATATTATATGACTTATACTGCCTTAGGCTGTCTGCATCAAGGCAGTAGAGAAAAGCATATTTCACATCCACATTTAGTGACTGAGTATTTTCCTGACAGTGCAGGAAAAGCGTAGAGCACAGGGTCTTCTTGCACTTCCACAGCTTCTATATTTCTTAAGCTGTGAAGGGTTACAAGGAATGTCCAATTGACATTTAGGCAAAAATCCAGAGAAGTCTGCGATGAGCACAGTCACATGTGCTATGACACAATCTCCCTAAAAGGAAATTTGACCAAGTAAAGTGAGGTTGCTTGCTATAGGTATCACCAGCATACACAGATTTAGACAACTAGAGCAATCAAAAATAAATGAATGAAGGCTTTAGTAAGCTACAGTTCCTCTACTTCTAGTAGAAGTGGTCCCTTCATCTGCTTTAGGATTTCGGTGGAAGTCAGCAATTAGACTTTATATTCCAAATGACCTGGGAGTGAGAACAGTAAATAAGCTGCTTTTTCTGTATTTTTCAGTGAGGAAAATTTGTATTTTCCTCACTGAAATCTTAAGAACGTCACCCTGATGGCTGAGAGAAACCCATCCTTTGCTTACTGCTGGATCTGAAAATGCTTCCTGTAGATAATCTTTAATATAAATATGGTTTGCAATGAGACAAGTTACTTGGAATATCTCTTTTCATTGTTGGAGACTTTTGGGTTCTAACAGACAGGAGAGATGATATCAGACTGCATTTGGAATTAACTCAAAAGACAATCAGAAGTTGTCACAAATGTGAATCCATTGGAAGATCCGGAACATAGAGTCTGTGTAGAAGTAGTATTTTTAATACTTGCTTGATGCTAGGTTTTGGAGATGCTGACTTATTTCATGGGGGGCAGAAAGAATAGCCTTTTGCATTTTATTTACTGCACATGTGAGATAATACTGAGCAGCCTTGAGAGACAGCTGCCAAACCACGTGTGTAAACTCCAAACACACACATAGCCTAAGATCATAAAATTAAGGAAAAAAATAGGTAGACCTCTTTCTGATACGTCATCCTTGTGAGCACCCATTCTATACTTTTAAACATATTCCCTTATGGATGAGAGACAGACAGAGATTGCCACTGAAAAAAATTATATCGGCTGAGCTTCTGGGAGGTGCCTGGCTATGCCCCTGCCCATGTTTTACAACAGTAGGCACTCATCACAAAGTGTATGGTTTTATGTGAAACCACAGGAAACTTGGTGGTTTCAGCTATTTTAAGCCTAGAAGTAGGCAGAATTTTACAGCTGATGTGGTTTCAAGAACACCACAGTAGGCAAAGAAAGCTTTTTTAACCTTAAGGGTCGTAGAAAAATACTAGTCTATGGTTTCGGAGGTCCCCGTGAAGAGCTCCAAATTAATGAATAAAAGGTTAAAAATAATGGCGTGATATTATACATATTTACGTGCTTGGCATCTAACAGGTGTTTTATAGATACCTGAGCTGGGTGTTGCTAACTCAACAAAACAAAACATTTGCTGATTCTCATATTAATCAAGACTACACTTCACAGCATTTAATTTTCTTATTCTCCTCTAATGAAGTTGGCTGAATCAAATGAAAATGCAAACCTAGAAGAGAAGGCATCACCCTGCTGGATAAGCAAATCCAATTCATATTTAGCAAACTCATTTGGGGGCTTTCTAGCCAGTTTTTTTTAAAGATCACAGCTGAGGTGTTTTAGAAGGCTGCAAGGTCAGCTGTGCTGCAAAAATTTTGCATGGTCTCTCTCAGTTAATTTGTGCTTTCAGACCTCAGATTTATGTTTTAAGCTTAAACAAAGCTCTTACATACACATAAGCTTAATAAACGTGGTTCAAACTTTTTCATTCATTGCAACAGAAAGCAAAGAAGAGAGGAAAAGGAGACTTGGAGTGCAGCAGAGAAGATCATGCCTGCAAACAATCCACCGCTTTGAATGCCAACGAGGCAAAGTTCAGCAGGTCAGATAACCCTCAGCAGAAAGAAGGGAAACACAGCGGTAAGACTACACGCTTTCATTGCCTCCGCTGAGCAAAATTAAAACCACATTACACCGAACGTTACCGGCGACACTGAGCAGAGGAACTGTGAGAGCCCTGCATTTGCTCACGTTGCCTCAGCAGGCAGGGAGGAAGGGGTTTACGGAGCAGCTCCCCAGCGGGCATTCGAACTCTGGCTGGTCTGGGACAGCCCTAGAACAGGGATGGCAACACCAGGACAGGCACGGCGCTGGGAAAGACGCCAGGAGCCTCGCCCGAGCCCGGCCCCTCCGGGGTGCGTTAAGGCTGCTCTTAGGGGCAGGATGCGAGCAATGGGAGTGCTGGGCGAGGAGGAGTTACCCGCCGTCCCCAACAACGCGGGACAAAGAAACCTTGGAGATCCTCAGTAGAACATAAGGGTGAGAGGTCTGATGCTCTTTGTAACGAGGGGAGGGGTGCTGTAGGTGGTTTGGCGTGCTCTTAATTTTACTTGTTTCTAGCTACGGAATTCTGGAAGATGTGTTGCTCAGGTAAGAGACCTGTAATTTTGGAAGAGCGATTTGCAAATCGGTTATGAAGGGAGTGAGACGTGACAGCAGAAAAATGAATTATTTTCAGTGAGCTGCGGTGGTGGGCGGACAGCACCTGTGTGCTCCCTGCCCAGGCACTCAGCGTCAGCAAAGGGCTCCTGCACACCTGATTTCAATGAGCGGGGGATTGTCTGTGGCAGGGCTGGGTGCCTTTCTGCTGGTGGTGTTATGAGTTGCTGTTGCTCTGGACTGGGCACTACTGCTTTGAATCTTCTGAGATAAGTTTAAAGGTTACCACTACTCTTGCTAGCAGTGATGAGCAGCCTGCTTCCAGGTATGTTGCACGTGCTTCTTTTCGGTGGTATTTTTTTATGTTGTTTTCTTTTGAGAGGCGGGATGGAGAGGCTTTAGGACTTCTGATGCCATTTGCAGTTAAACTTTTGTCTAGCACAGATAAAGCTTCTGCCTGTTGCCTTCAGCTTATAAACTGCTCTGTAGATTGTGTGGTGTGAGATGGGCTCCCTGTTGTGTTACAGTTATGGTAATGACTCCTATATGTACAAAATTAGAGAGTAAAAAGGAGTTGATTGAGCATGCGTGTGGCTTGTTCTTACCCTTAGCAGTAGTAGGTAAGCGCTGATTGTGAGTGCTTGCAACTGAGATGTAGTTAATCACACCCAGGTGTGGGTTTGGGCTCTTTAAAGGAGCCTCATCCCTAAAATCCCAGACCATTTAAATATCTTTATTTGTATTTTCCAGGACCTATTTGGTCTAAGCTACTGTAATGTTCTTGAATTTCCCTTTTGTCTGTGCTGTAGTTGTTCAAGGGCTTGTTTTGTTTTGTGCTGTATGTTTAAATTTTAACTTATCTCCAGGGATGCAGTGTTTGTAGAAGTGTTGCATTCTTGGCTTCTCTTTAAAAAACTAACAAAACAAACAAACAAAACACCCAGTGATTGCAATACTACAGTGAGGCTAACAAGCTTCACGCTTTGTGAATTCCTTCTCATTTGCAGCTCAGAAACTTGTAGTTGCTTAGAACTTTATGGATTGCCCTCCTTTTAAACAAATTGAAATGCACAATTTGGGTAGGCCTTACTGAAATGATTATTTGGTTTCTTAAAAACTGATTTATTGAGACTTGTAGCTCCTTGTTGTGAAGAAAACTGAGAAACCGCACTGGTGCATTCTTCCAGGGACCTGACCAGGAAGACAGACCAGGCTGTAGCAAAGAGGATAATTTTCACTGAGAGCGGAGAAAACCATTTTTTAACCTCAGTGGTAGATGGGTTAGCTGTCCTGGCTTGCTTATTTGGATGTTACTACTACAGTAGCTGTTGTGATACTATGGGTGTCAAGTCTCATTACAGACACAAAAAATCTCAGATATTCACCCTGAGTAGCAACTTTAATTTGAGTTGAGTGTCCCCATTTTTTTCTGTTTGCCAGCAGTAGAAGCTGGAAGGGTGGTTTTTTTTTATTATTTGAATGGGCTTTCCTTTCTGAGTACTTCAGCAAGTAAAATGTGAAGGTAGGCCCCTTGTTTGCTCTCTTTTACAGCCTTAAAATCTTAGTTAAGAATTTCTCATTCTGGCTAAGAAATCTTTACCTTTGTATTATTACTGTTGTGTTCCAAAAGCTTCAGTGCTGCTTTTATTCTCAGTCTTAAACCTAACTTCACATTGCAGAAATATCTGAAAATCCTGAAGCCCGTGTGGGTTAGTGTTATCTCTCCCAAGCATTCACATGAAGTTGCCTTTGATGCTGATGAGCAGAGATGAGGTGCATCTCTGAGATGCTGAGGGTCATTCTGGTTGAAGGAACAGAACTCTTTCAGTTCCAGTGGTCGGAGTAAACATGTGTTCTGCTACCTGAAATGCAACAGCAGCTATGACTTGTGGGGGCAAAGTGTGGTTGTGGGCAGCTGGACAGAAAAGTGCTATCAAGACAATTGTGTATAAATCAGGATGCTGTTAAGTGGTGTAAAGTAGATTCACACTCACAGTAATTCTGTCATTCTTCATTTCTTCAGCTGTTCCTCCAGTGCTCCTAAAGGTCTGACTGGGCCTCTGCCCAGATGACTGCTGTTATGTTTTACCACTGCCCTTGTTCCCCAGAGCTCTGGGTGCTATTTTGTGCACTTTTACTTAGCATTGGTCTAAGTAGAGATAAATATTTCATAGGAGTTATTTCCAACCAGACTGCCTTATGGATGCTGAGGGTAACCATATGAAATATGAGGTTTCTCCAGGACCTTGTAACTACCATCAATCAGCTGGAGCATAGGCTGCTGGTATCGCTATTGAAATGATGACTTAAAAGTATGAAGGGGCTGGAAGCAATGGGATTCAGTGCAAAGCTTTGCTTCTTTCTGGAAGCCTCTGCTCACTGGTGAGAAGGGAAGTATCAAACTGTATTTCAGGTTGGCTTTTCCAGATGGTCTGAAGAAAGGCAATGAAGACTCTGTTCTGCTATGGTTTCGTGTCTCCCATTTATTTAAGTAGTAAAGCCTTTACTCAAAAGTGAAAACAGGCAGCAGGGCTTGGATAGAAAAGCTGTTTGATAGCGACTTTAAAATAATCTGGCAGGATTTTTGTCTTTACAGGGAAATGCTGTATCAATTGCATTTTTCTTCCTGCACTGGTATTTGGTCTTGCAATTGCTCAGATTCTGCCTCTCACCAATCTTCCTGCTGGTGAACTCAGAAGCAAGGGGAAGTGCTGTTGACTAGAATTAATTATTTACTTAAGATAGGGTACGTGCCTAAATATACACTTTCTCTTTAACTGAAATCCTTATGCAGAATGCTGTCCCTTTCTGTAAACGAGAAATATTTCCCTCCCCTTTCAAGCTTGCAAGAGGCAAGTAATGTTGACCTCGACTCGGTTTTTGTTTTTTTGTTTGTTTGTTGGATGACGTTACTTAAAAGCCACCCTCCTTAGGTACATACGGTGAGATGAGGCAGGACACAGGTGTAACAACAAATCCCTCTGTGAATCATTACCAGTCAAAGACTGCCCTCTCTTGGAGCCTACCGACTGCTGCACTGTGCTTAGATGTCTTTCTCATTCAGTTTTTCTTTCAAACATTTGTACTTTGTAGTGGATCTTTGCTTATACATCGTTTCTAAAGCAGTGGTTATCTTTTTAGAAGAAACACTAGAAAGTTTCAAAATAGTTTTAAGCTTCTACTGCCGTTTTCACCCAAAGGCAGGCTTTTGTCTTCTGGGTGACATTTTCTTCCACTCTCTCTTTTGGATAAAAGGAAAGCTGATGGAGAGTTAGAGAAGAGACAAAATCTTTCAGGAAATGTACTTTAACTTAGCAAAAGCAATTGCAAGAAGGCAAAAGACCAGATTGGAATGATTTCTTCTCCTCTTCAGGAGTCTTAACATTCAACAACCTTAATACCATGAGAAATCTTGCTGTTTTGGTATGTAGCATCCTATATCTCCTAACTGATCACATACGATTTAAGATTGTATCTACTTCAAAGTTTCAAGTAGTATCTTAATTATCTGACAGGAACAAGAAGACATTTGGACAAAAAGTTATCTTTGGCTAAATTGATGCTCTGATGTTTGTTAAGATTTGACTGCGTTGATGAGTTACATTGGTAGACCTGTTATCCAGCCTAACTCTGGACAGAAAGTGTTAATTCAACTGTCAAGGATTTTGTTTTGTGTTTTGCTACCATTAACAAAACATGAAGCCCTGGTGGTGAAAATTCAGTATGGCTGATTTACAAAACATTATCCTGCTGTTAAGTCTGTTTTGATATATTCCAGTGATTAGCTTATTGGTTTGTTGTTCTTTCTTCTTTTTAGGAGAAAACTCATCTGAATATTTCTGTGGGGTTAAGTGCTTCTCTGTTTTAACTCTTATTGGAATGTTCCCAGGGAGCCTTTTTTTTTTTTTTTTTTTTTTTTTTTTTGTTTTTTTTTTTGTTTTCTCTCACCTCCCCTCCATCCCTTAATTCTGTAACTTATCCTGAGATCAGAGGAGTGATTCTTGCATCTGTGTTTGTGGGCAAGCCAAATATACCTTTGGCGGTAGGAGTAAACCAACGCATGGAAGATACAAAGGCAATGCAGAATAGTGTTGTAAACATCTCAATAAGATCAGAAGGACATAACTTCTATTCAGAGACATCTTCATAGAGTGAGCCTACTTACCTTCAAACTGAGAACTGTGGGGGATTAGATTACTTTTTGTCTTGTGTAGGGTCATGTTATTTGTTGCTTCTTAATGAACTATTGGAAACTAGGGATCAGCTCTGCTTGATTGTGCTTTGGTGTCTGAGATGAAGAAGGATTTTAAATCCATGCCTTTGAGTGTCACCTATTTCTGACAGTGTTCTTCAGCTTGCTTTCTGTGGTTAGTTCTGCTACAGTAATTCCAATGGAGAAAATGCTGCTTCTTGCTCCCATCCAGGAGAACAAGGATACTAACTGATTAATTCTTGTTGGCTTACCAATTCTGTGGTGCCTTTCAAAGATTCAACCAAAAAAGGGTATTCTGAACTTCTGTCTTCAACAAGACTAGCTTTGAAAGAATGAAACAAGTTATCTTGCGTTGTTGCTGTGGAGTGAACAACCCTCCCTCCCCCAGATCTCTTAATAAATACTACAAATGTTTGAGGAAGTTTTCCTGTGGTGGTAGGAGCATATTCAGGAACCCGTAGTGGGTAGAAAAATGATTATGGCCTCAATCCTTAATTCAGAGGCATTGAGTTTGTAGACACTCCAATAGCAAGAAGTTTATGAGTGTCCTTTACTAAGACACTTCAAGCTAACCTGAAATAAATATCTTAAGATTGGTTGTTACAATTCTGGTGCTAAAAAAGCATCAGGAGGGTCTGATATAAGAAAGTGTATTTGCAATGACTAT